GTTCTCATCTTGGGTTTTCTTTTTAAGTCTGGAGGAGACAAAGCCAAAGAAACAGTTAAATATGCATGGGCCAAAGAATTAGATCTAACAAGACTATAATGAATATAACTAACAAATATTACCAAAAAGAGCCTCTCACAAAGAGGGTAAAGAGAAGGTCTAGGAAATTTTAGAATCTCACATGGCATTAACCTGTTGTTCAATAATTCAAACAGCCATGGAGATATTAGCAGAAGGATCAGGAACGTACAAATAACATTTAGGTTTTATAATTACACAAGTACCCTTTGTGATGTTGTTAGGATGTCTAATGCCATCTGATTTTGGAGGATGACTCTACTCATTAATTTTACTTCTTTATTTAGGAAAGAGAGACCAATTTAGAGCCATTAAGTATAGTTACTCAAGGCTTCAATGTGTTGCACGTCATCCTCTAATCCTAGGGAAGGGACAAAGATAGACTGCAAATGATCATATTGATGAAACATATGTCTAGATGATCATTGTGGTAGATGGTTTAAATTTGCACTTTTGTCTATATTTTTGACACTCCTGCCTTGTAGCCAGGCAAGTCCCAGCATGCATTTCCCTATCTATCCAGGGGTTAGCCAGGACCAAAAATTGATTCCACATGATAAGTGAGTACCATTGCAAGCCCCCCATCTAATTCCAGAGTGATTAAACAAATGTTTCAAACCATTCTTTCACCCATAGAGTGTTTATACATTGCTCCATGGGTGCTCATCCCGAGTATTTAGTAGAGTCAGGCCAATGAAAATTGGAATGATTTCTTTGTTCCCAACATAAGGGAGATTTTCCACTAAGTTGTCCCATAGTTATAGTTTACCACATATAATTACCATTTAGATATATTTGTACCAGGGCAGCTCCTGTTCTTCCTATTGCACCTTTAGTTGCCCATATTTCTGGATTTATTTCTGTCTTCAAGAGAGGGAGGCAGCACACCTGACCTGGGTGCATGTGTATTACAGTATTCACACAAGATAAAAGATCTTTCCCCAGGAGGGGAACTGGGCTTTCAGGTATAATTTTAAAGGAATAAGTGAAGTGAAAGCTGTCCCAGTTATAGCCTAAGGGTTGTGAGAAATAGCAAGTTACCTCCTCTCCATTGACTCCTTCCAATGAATATACATTATGTGGCTGGAAGGAAGGCCAGGGTTTAAAAAGAAGGACTGAGAGACATGCTCCGTGTCCAGAAATATCCTGCTTTCTTTTCCCTCTATAGTTTTGATTATCCAGAGCTTCCCTGTGGAGATGACAGTCCAGCCAGAGGGAAGAAGGCAGAGGGTGCTGTGAGGCCCTCCAGTCTTGTTGGATCAGCTGGCAAGATGGATCTGATCCCTGGGATCTCTTATCTCAGGAGCAGTCTAACTTCCCTTGACCTCCTCCTGGTATCAATTATAAAACACTGAGAAGGAAATTCTCAATAAAGTATTAAGTGAGCTATCTGGAGCAAAAGCCATCTTCTGTAGCTTTTTTCTAATATCTGGGGCTGACTGGGTAATAAAAAAATCAGCTAAGGCTGGACATAGCCCAGGAGATACTTCAATCATGGCTGCCTTAGATACCTCACCCTTAGGATCTGAAGGGCAAGGTAAAGGAGACTCAGGCTCAGTAATAGTAGATGGGGCCTTGATTAAGATTGCCTTGGAAACCTTGACTTCAACATCCAAAGAAAAAAGGAGGGGAAGCTTAGGCTCTGTGATAGTAAGCACATCCATTTATGCCTTAAGGGCCAGAAGTATCTGGTTTTCCTGTGGCTTACATTTACATTTTGAAAACAAGTAAGGATTATGAGAAAAAAGTTAATAAGGTAATTCTGACCATTTTCTCTCTCTCTCTCTTCTAGTACACTTCTAGCTGTGAAATAGTATTATAATCAATTCTTCCCTCTGCTTTCCATTTTGCCTCTCAGAGATAGGTAGGCCAGGTGTGAGTGCAGAAAAATATTCCAGCTATGACAGTCATGTTTAAAAAAGGAAACATTGTTAGCAAAACTAAACCAATAATCAAGAGATCTGAGCCAAGGCTTTCCAATTCTTTGAAAGATAGTAAAGAAAAATTCAAGGGCAAATTGAAAGTGGTCAGAGCACCTGTCAATCTGCAAAGGAGATCACCTCTAGAGACAGATAAATGGCTTAGAAAAATCCTTCCTTGGACCCTAGAGCAAAGAAGTCTTTAAAACATTTGTGCTATCTGCCTAATTACCTAGGCAATCATCCCTAGCAGCAAGACAAGGTTAAATTCTACTCAAAATGCACTCTAAAATTTCTATGTCTCTATACGTGCAACACACTTATGAAGCTCACAGGTTAAAACTTATACCCACTGTCCAGCAACCACAGCTGAGCAAATGTATTTCCATCTCCTACACACATAAACAATGAGAACCAGACTTACGAAAGGAGAAAGAGAGCACCAGGAAGTTTGGATTCTCCTTTAAACCAAATGTATTTTAGGGGCCAGGGATTTATCCCAGTGGTACCATGCCTGCCCACAAGCACAAGGTCCTGAGTTCAATCTCTGGTACCCAAAAAACAAAACAAAACAAAAAACCCCAAAAACTAAATGTATTTTGGTCCCTTAAATATGTGCTTGGAGGAATAGCTCCGTCCAGTGTCACCCATAAGTCAGTTCTTCCCATGGAGTCTCAGATTCAGTCTCCTGAGAAAAACTGTTGCCCAGAGCATTTAAGTGAGAACATTCCTTTCATATATAGTCTTCTGAATGAGCAAAATTCCAATGTCTCATCTGACCCAGAGATGGGATATGTGTTCCTCATCTAAGATGACTTCTCTGTTTTTGGCATCAGCAAATGCTCATTTTCTATAGACTCAACTTAAAGGTTCTTAGTTGTTGGATAGGAGGGAAGGGTTGTGATAGTGCAGGGCTCCTTCCTGTCTATTCTTTGCAGAAACATGCTACCAAAATAAGGGAAAGTACAAAATGACAGGAAAAGTTAAGGAATAAGATCTGAAAAAGGGAACTCTTCTGCTCATGCTCATGGTGAGCTATTGAGACAATGTGCCCATAAATTGTCACACTCAGCCTGGAAAGAGGAGAGTAGGGAATCTCAAGAGCTAAGATTGCCACTTCCTCACCATGGAAGATCAGACCAAATAGGAAACTGAGGCAGAACAGGCTCAATGTTCTCTCTAGAGTCTAGATGGAGATCAGGCCAGACTTTCCCAGTGAAACCTCTCCCCCAGGTCTTAAGAATGAGCACCAGCCTATTGCCTTTTATTGGTGGTTGGAGACCTGTGACTTAATATGCATATATATTTCCTAAATATAAACTAGATTTTATAGAAAGACCCAATTGTAGCATTTCATAAATTCATATTTTGGCTAACATCAAAGCCCACTAGTGCATGCTCTAACATTACTTTTCTTTAGTGCCATTGTCTAACAAGTCAAACAGGACAAGCAAGAAGCATCAAAAACATTTAGCAATTAATAAGTCTAAATGCAGCACATACAAAACATGAATACAAGACCTTGCCTGCAAAAGTAAAATGTCCCATCACAGAAACATCATAATCTTCCCCTGTGCTCAACTTAAATTTGTCATCATTTTAACAAAAAACAATATGTAAAAAAAGACAAGGCATAAAAGGTACACAAGGCATAAGTAACTTAAGCAATTGACAAACAAGAATGACAACGTATCCATGAAACAAAAGCAAACTCCTATCCCCTTCCAATTATCTCTCTGGGGCCTCCAAAATGATATAGGACCTCCAAGTGATACAGGGGAAATAATACAACTCCCAACCTGCTAGATGTCAGATATACTGAGTTACTATTTCTCAAAATCAAAGAATGAATTCTAAGAACAATGGAGGTTAAAAGTAGGAAATATTTATTGAGGGGAGAAACATACCTCCTGAGAAACAGGAGGGGTTGCATTGGACTCCACTTTACAAAGGGTGTTTTATAGATCCAAATTATGAGGTGGGTACAAAGTAGGACAAAACTATGATTAACCAACAGGATTACAACTATAGCCACTTAGGTAACATTGAGCCAATGGGGAAGCAAATCATGTAGCAGTTGTACATGGCAAGAACAAGGACCTTTTTTTTTTTTTTTTTTTTTTTTCCAAG